AATTTTCCCACAATGACATGAGCATAGCCTTCCTTGCCCAAGACTTGTTCTCATCCCAGGTCGATTGGACCACAACATGTGAGCTTGACACGTTGACCATTCATCTACGTTGCCATGAGGGTCATTGGGTCGTGAAACTCTGGTTGTGTACGAAAAACGACATCTATTAGCCCATGTGCATATGCAGAATGGAGTAAAGTGGATTCGGTATGACGCAAATGCTAGCAAGATTGACGACACAAAAGAGTGCAAGGAGAGTATCATACTTGAGGCTGAGGTGGATAGATGAAGTGGGAGAGATCTCCACACAAGTGGGTGAAAAGGAAGCAGGATCCATGGGCCCTGGGGAGTCTGAGGGAAAAGAGAGAATGAATCAGGGCTCAGAAGACATCACGTAAAAGAGCGATACGAGAGAACAGTTGAAAATCCTTTTAGCAGACTATTCTCTTGGCTTATTATAATGGCGTGCTTTTTGTAAAGTATGGTCTCAGTAATGTAATGATGCCTATTACATGACAGAAGAATGCTTGGGACGGGCTCCTCGGTGCTACAAGACGGTTAACTGAGCATTTATTCGTACATTCCAATGATCTTCTCTTAAGATTAGTCTTCATTTTGTTTTCTTGTAACGAACTTTTCCTTCGAAATGAAATGTATAGTCCCAGGTAACAAAATTTTAAGGATGTGACTTTCTGAATGAAGAAGCAAATGGGATCAGTAAACCATACAGTCGTGATACTTGATCAGTGGTAAATGCGATTAAGCCTCATTAATCTAAGATACCGAGAGGTATAGGAATAAATCCTGGCGAAGGTGCAAGAATAGGCATCCTTAAAAGCTGTAGAGGATATATTTTTATCAATAAGTGAATAAGTAGTATGCCAGTAGTAGAACTGAAAAAGAATAAATATATATATATGGTTAGCATATTTTATTGACGGAATATGTCTCGCAAAAGTGCGTGTAGAGCGCATGATTAATGCGAGCTAAAGTATATGATCAGATAGTTTTGCGAAAAAGCAAAACTCTTAATTGAAAAATTAATTGCCTTTCATCGGGTAAGATATGCCCAGCAAGATACATGTGAGGCAGCAAATTTCACCGTGTCTGGCGAAGGTAGTTTAGATTGGAAAATGGATAAGAGTTTTGATAGAAAAGGCAATTAATGCAAGGCTTTAAGGAGTATTGTGTTGAATTGATTCGCTCTCAGCTCAGATAAAATCTCCATCTGTCCAACCCGTCAGGGCGCAGCAGAAGCAGTAATCCAGTTAATCTTCCCCACTTTTAGGGTAGCCCCAGATTTTGCCACTTGACCATGCGCCCTAAAGCCATAATTGAGAAGCCATAGTGTGCAAACTATTAGGCGACCGAAGATGAGTTCGTTGCAGTGAAATCCGATTCTGCCGTGGGGAAAAGTCTTTACAAAGTGGCAAACTTCTACAAGAAAAATTGCTCTGGCGGATTCTATCAATGTACTCGTCCGTATAAATGTGGTGGACACTCGACGTGTGTTGGGAAAGGAGGCAAATCTGGAACTTTCTGTTTTACAAGAACTAAGCAGAATGCAAGCGGAGAGAAGGAAAAAGAGGAAAGATGGATATGAACAAGAGTCAGAATGCTGGCCAGCAACGGGATGACAGGACTTGGGGCATGGGGGAGTGATGACTTGTGGCTCAAGGCTCGAGGGGCATGGTCGAGTGATGCATCATTTAGACGAGCAGTTTATCAGAATGACTCAAACTGACACAAAATCGCTCACAAAATAAAAAAAGATACCGGGCCTGGTTACTTGGAACCGATTGGACAAGCAGGAAATGAGTGGGTTGATATGCATTCACCTTGGCAAGGCCATAAGAAATTCACTGGAAGCGTAAAGTTCCCTCATGGCAGTGGAATAATTCAACGAAAGACATCTTATCACCTTAAATGAAACAAGGTAAATAAATGTCTTGTGTATGCTCTATTGATAGCCTCGAAAGCCGACTTATAAACGAAAAATAAGTGATATGAGATGTATTCACCCAATTTCGCTTAAAGTGGTAGAAGAAGAATTTTCCCACAATGACATGTGTTGAGCTGACGTTTCCATTTAATTTCAGATATTCTTGCTTTCCCAAAAGTTGTTTTCATGCTTAAACGAAATTGGGTGAATACATGTCATATTGAGAATTTATTTTATTTTACGAATTAATTATTGTTTTCGTGACTACCAGTAAATCAGTAGTATGAGATGTATTCACCCAATTTCGTTTAAGGTAATGAAGGACTGGTAGAAGAAGAATTTTTACACAATGACATGAGTTGAGCTGACGTTTTAATTTAATTTCACATAGTCTTGCTTTCCCAAAAGTTGTTCTCATCCTTAAACGAAATTGGGTAAATACATGTCATATTGAGAATTTATTTTATTTTACGAATTAATTATTGTTTTCCTGACTACCAGTAAATCAGTAGTATAAGATTTATTCACCCAATTTCGTTTAAGGTAATGGAGGACTGGTAGAAGAAGAATTTTTCCACAATGACATGAGTTGAGCTGACGTTTTAATTTAATTTCACATAGCCTTGCCTCCCCAAAAGTAGTTCTCATCCTTCAATGAAATTGGATGAATACATCTCATACTACTGATTTACTGGTAGTCACGAAAGATGATACTTAATCGAAAGAAAAATGTGTGGATATAGGAAGGAATAGACGAAAAAAAGGATTCTGGACCGTTTGGGTCCTGTTTTCGAGTCGAAAAAGTTGATCGGACTGGCCTACCGGATGGCGGTGCTGATTCGGATGAAAGTGACCTCCGGTCGGCTCGAGACTGTCTGAACCGGCCAGATTAGCGGTTCAAAGACGGCCAGCCGAGTGAGAATTTCGGGTAAACTGGAAAGGTGAGGCGATGAGAAGAAAAGATGTCTGGCAGTCCCAGTTTCTAGGCCCCATTCATCCTTTTTCGATTTCCTCTTCGAGTCCAAGTGGATGCCGATCGCTTGATCGGCCTCGCCGCCCTCCTCGTCGTCCAACCAAAAAGTGTTTTCACGTCTCGTGAGTGGATCATCTTCAGAGACTTGAGGATCGGCAGCGAGCACTCGCAGCTGAGCCGAGCACCGACTGAGACATGCGAGTCGAGACTCAGGCTCTGCGAGGCCACGGATGAGAAGTACGTCAGCCAACTCACCCTGTAACCAACAGATTAAGGCGTTAAAATAGAAATCAGACTTCCGCTTGACAATTTTTGCAACTCAGCGAATTTGAGTAGACAAAAAATAACAAAAGATTTTATTTATCCAAAAATGACGTGAGGATATCAAACAAAAATAATAATTTTAGTATCGTTACTTGATTTAACTACCGTTTGGAAGGGGAGGGGTGCAGGCAAGATTCAAGTTGAGATACAAACTGCAGTTCATCCTACACGAGAACACCTTTTGTAAAGTGAAGCTATGCGAAACGTAATAGTCTCCTGAGAGTAAACCAATCCAAATTCATATTTAATGGATAAATTATGAAGTTAATTTGAAGTCAAAAGAGGCGATAAAATAAAAAGGACTCATAAAAATGAGGATATTTGGTCTGAAATGTTGGAAGAGACGCAACCGCTGGCGAAAAACAGAGCTGTAGTTGCAGGAATGGCAGGAAAAGTTGCTAAAATGGTTGCCTTGATGGTGACGTTTAGATGCTGCTTGAAGGACCGAAAGTTGTACTGCTCTAAGAAAACCATACAGAGGAGTTGATTTTGTCAGTTCCCTCTCTTTTCATCCCCAAAAGAGAGTGTAGTTCCGAACGAAATTCAGCTTCGACAGTTCCGAGGCTTTCATGGAAATGTAGACAGGACTTGAAGCCAAGAAGTGTTGGTCTAGTTACAAGGAATTTACTCATTTAGCCCACACACGCACACACATTCGGAGAACAGCACAACCTCCAGTTGGACAGAGAGACAAAAGAGTTTTAATTAGGTCATTGAAATAGAAAATACTTCCTGGTCATTTTAATCAATTTAAGGATATGGGCAAATATGCAAAAGTCAAAGTGGAAGGGTGACTATGAAGAGCATCATTTCTGTTCACTTAAATAGTAACTCTTAAAAAAGCTACAAATTAAAATAGCTAATTTACAGGAGTTTTGTATTAAAGTGTGATAATGCAATCCTGAAGTATTATTCACAAAGAAAATACGCCTATCATAAAGTGCTAATGTGACTATCAACTGGGGTGAAGGAGAATGTTCCATTGCCTCCAGAGTGCTTGAAAAATAACAATGAATAACTGTATCGAGGAATTGCTAACGATAGCTGCTCATGTTTGCTATCAAGGCCAGCGATTTCGAGAAATAGGCCAGATAACGAAAATGGCCAACACATGGTTGAATTTTCGAGCAAAACGAAAAGCAGTGTGACTGTTCACATGTCGTTTCATCCGCAAAATATCCCAGTTTCAGGCTACATTCTTCTCGATACGGATGTCCAGACGTAGACATATCGCATTTCGTCGACAGAAGAGCCCAGATTGAAGAAACTGCAGACGTAGACGAGAATATGCACCAGAAGTTGTGCTTACCTGCATTCAGTCGATGGTGATATTCGGTCTCTGTTGGACAATTTGCTGAATCCGAGAATGGTTGTTTATGTAAAAATTTCCCTTACTCCCAAAACACAAGTTGCCTATCGATACCAAATTTCTCTAAAAGGTGGCCTCAGAGAGGCCATTGGTACTGCGATCGCCATACACGCCAGATGACAAAATAAGACCCCGATGGGTTCGAATCACACCAGGACAGGCCTTCTTTTCAGTTTATCGAGGGAGCATCTTGAGAAAATGGCACACAAGTTCGCCTAAAGTGAGGTAAGGAAATAAAGTGCAATCTTCGAAAGTGGTACAAATAGGCCTCACAGCTCAGTCTTACCAACTAGATTGCTGGGACTTTCTTTTCGTATGAAAGTGTATGAAGAAGAGATTCGAAAGTTGAGCTCATCAGAAGAGGACGGTTGAATCGCGTTGTACTTCAGCCGTTTGGTTTTACTTCGATGTTGAGATTGCTGCAGTCCGCAAGACCTGTTCTCTCTTTTCAGGTGAAACCGACTGATCTTTCGTCCATCATCGGATGGACATCATCAGAACTGGGACTCGTTCTTGTAAAATTCTCAAATTAACACTAAGACGCGTTAAAAGGGGCGACTGACAGAACGACTGGACGAATACACGATAAAAAGTTCCGGAATTTAGAAATTAGAATTAGGTCGAGAAACTTTGCTCTGTCGTACTAACCTTTTTTGTAGCAAAGTGGAGAAGGATAAGTTAAGCAATTTATCTGGTACAACTCTGGAGGATAGTTTAGTACTTTTTGCTCATCCAAATGAGGTCAACTATTCTCTGCAAATATTCGTAAGAAATAGTATTGAACTGCAGGAGATCCATCATTTTGACGATTGGTAATAATCTAATCGCTATGAAAGCCGACAAAGGTGGAGCAGTGGTAGTCATGGATAAGTCAAGTTATGTAGAAAAAATGCTAGTTCATTTAAATGGCCTTTACTGAGAGATCCAATAGAAAGACTTTAGACTGGGCTAAAGGATGCCCATAAGGTGTGCGTAAATGATGGTAAAATGAATTGGCTACTCCAAAGAGATGCAAGGGCCCCCACGACTTACGGTCTCCCTGAGGTTCACAAGGAGAGTGTGTCCCTCGAAGATTAATTGGAAATAATAAAGGAAGCGTGGTGCATAAAATATCACGTTTTTTATGTATACAACTAAATAAAAGCTGCCAATTTTTGGCTATATTCCTTTAAAAATTCGTATGATTTTGTGAAATTGATGGATCAGCATACCCTTTCAGAAGAGGTTTTGATGTTGTGTCTATGTACACAAAGATTCCAGTTCTGGTTGCTATTCAAGCTCTGATACAAACTCTGGAGGAGCACCAGCGATGAGACAAGGAATAAGGTTGAGTGTAGCTTCCGTAATTAGACTTAGTAACTTATGCATGAGTACCACATATTTTACCTTTGATGGTAATTTATAAGAACAAACAGAAGAATTAGCGATGGGATCTTGTCTGTCTCCCATTTTAGCGAACAATTCTATAGCAAGATTGGATGAAAACTTCCTGAAAGAGGCAATACTAACACCAAAATTGTTGGTTAGATACATGCATGATTATTTTGCCATCTGGCCTCATGGTAAGGAAAGTTTAGGTTGTTTCCTACTTTCACTCAACCAGCGTGAAAGGAACATTAGGTTCACGATGGAGACGGAAGAGAATAAGTCCTTACCTTTTCTGGATGTTCTCATCATTAGAGAAGAGGGTAAGTTAGGAAGAGAT